GTCCTCAGCTCAACTTCCCAAATGCCTTCTTCTGCCTGATGGCAGACTATGCCCAAACTCACTCAGGCCACTGGCAGCTGAAAACCTCGGCTTTAAATCCTGTCACTATTTATTATGATGCAGAGTTACTGTAAACAGGAAACGTTCTATTCATGCTACCAACGGAGAGAAAATCAATGCCTTTACCATAGAAAGAACCCTGAGAAAGGAGCAAAACGAAACAGGGACAACCACGGATTGCATTCTGTTTGCCTGCTGCTGCCTGCATGAGGAGCTCCAGATTTGGGGTGTCTTGGTTGGAAAAGAAGACACCAACTAAGCGGGGGCTAATTTTTGTATTCTAGTAGAGATGGGGTTTCTCCATGTTGGTCAGGCTGGTCTTGAACTCCTGACCTCAGGTGATCCACCCGCCTCATCCTCCCAAAGTGCTGGAATTACAGGTGTGAGCCACTGCACCTGGCCTAGGGCAAGGTTCCTGAAGAGCCCTGCACCCAGCCTTATGAGGGAGCTGGAGAATCACTCTTCCTTCCCTCTCAGGCTCTGGGCAGATGCCAGGGCTGGGGTGAACCACACCCTTGAGTTTTTTGCTTTGGAGGGTCACATTTTCCCCTGGCAAGGAGAGTAAAAGTCATAGGGAGCCAGAGACCCATGGCCTGCCTGCGCCACCAGCCCAAGCTATGAGAACTTGAACGCTGTATGCTAAAAGTCTGAGGCTCGGGGCTCCCCAGGGCTCCTCCCCTCACAGGCTCCACGGAGGGAGGATAAGTGCCGTCCTCCCAGAGCATGGCAAGCTCGGAGCACGCAGCCTCCCCAGCATAACATCCCTTGGAAACCTCGGACTTGGTCTTAAACATTTGTGCAAATTTTGCATCTTATTTCCCATGATGTCAGCATGTTTTAGAAAACAACCCTAAATTTTCCTAAACATACAAAAGAATTTGGTACTGTAGGACACTGTTCCTTTAAAAAAATGGTGTTGTTTTAAAATCTTCCCCACCTTCTTTCTGCCCTCCAAGACTGCCAAATCCTCACTGAACAAATATTAGGAAATGCTCATTATTGCCAGATGTGATTCATGGTATTGGGGTTATTAGCAGAGAACAAATACCTGCGTATGAAATAATCCATACAACAAACCCCGGTGATATGAGTTTACCAAGATAGCAAACCTGCACCTCGTACCCCTGAGCATAAAGTAGAAGAAAAGAAATTATAAAATAAAATAAAGCAGTGGTCTGGAGTCTGAGCCACACTCTAACCCCCTGGAGAGCTTTGCTTTCTTTCTTTTTTTTTTTTTTTTTGAGACGGAGTCTCACTCTTGTTGCAAGAGTGCAATGGCGCGATCTCGGCTCACCGCAACCTCCGCCTCCTGGGTTCAGGCAATTCTCCCGCCTCAGCCTCCTGAGTAGCTGGGATTACAGGCACGTGCCACCATGCCCAGCTAATTTTTTGTTTTTTTAGTAGAGACGGGGTTTCACCATGTTGACCAGGATGGTCTCGATCTCTTGACCTCGTGATCCACCCGCCTCGGCCTCCCAAAGTGCTGGGATTACACTCCAGGGATTCTCATTTAACTGGTCTGTGGCAATTTGGCCTTGGGAAATCCTAAATACCCCCCACCTCCAGGTGATTTTACGGCGCAGGGGTGTAAACAATCGATTCAGGATAATGCATGCGTTCACTGTTCCTGGTTTCCATGTGTACTGATGGGATTTGCCCCATGGCTGCTCCTGGGTTTCGGGGCTTGAAAAACAGCTCTTCTCTGTTAAAAATCAAAGGACAACTTCAAAATGTACTCAGGTGTTTGGATAAATTGCTGCAGAAAAACAAAGTCTTCTCAGCAGATGTATGTTTAAGTCATCTCATTTCAGAGTAAGAGGTTGTTTCAGACACAGTACTTTAAGTTAGTGTTGAAAATGATAAACAGCCTACCTGCCAAAAAGTATGAAAGCATTTACAGACACGCAGGATACGTTCTGTTTTTAAGTCGCTTCTGTGTTTTTGGGCTTTGATTTCCTAATGTTTTCTATCAGCCATTTCCCCCAGGTTATTCCACATCCTTCCAAGAAGCTTCCGCGATTTCTTGAGGTAACTGATTATTCCCAACGGTAAACAGCACCACATGGGCCCAGATCTAAAAGGAATTCTGCTTCTATTGCAGATCACTCTCCAGAAGCTGGAAGGCCTACAGAAGCTGCATGAACAGCACACTCTATGCAAAAGTAACGGCTTTGAGCCAGGCAGCGTTGACCCCAAGTTCCAGCCCAGCTGCTTAGTAACTGTGGGGCTTTGGGCAAGGCTTTTTGAGGTGAAGTTTTGTTGTGTCACCCAGGCTGGAGTACAGTGGCATCATCTTGGCTCACTGCAACCTCCGCCTCCCAGGTTTAAGCAATTCTCCTGCCTCAGTCTCCCAAGCAGCTGGGATTATAGGCATGCACCACAATGCCCGGCTAATTTTTGTATTTTTAGCAAAAACGGGGTTTTGCCATGTTGGTCAGGCTGGTCTCGAACTCTTGACTTCAGGTGATCCGCCCACCTTGGCCTCCCAAAGTGTTGGGATTACAGGTGTGAGCCACTGCACCCGGCCTAGGGCAAGTTTCTTGACTTGAAGCAGTGATATAAACCTCTTCTGCAAGAAAGGGCAGAATAATACTGGCTGCAGGAACAGCAGCAATTCTTCATTCCTCGCTGTATCCATGCTCTTTATTGTGAGCTTCTCCCATGAAGAGGTGGAATGTGTTTCCCAAACCTTGCATTTCGCTGACACTATTTGCTCCGGCCTATAGAAAACTGTTGTATTAGTTTGTTTTCACACTGCCGATAAAGACATTCTGCAAACTGGGAACGAAAAAGGTTTAATTGGACTTACAGTTCCACGTGGCTGGAGAGGCCTCAGAATCACCAGGAAATGAAAGCCACCTCTTAGCATGGCGAAGGCAAGAGAAAAATGAGGAAAAAGCAAAAGCGGAAACCCCTGATAAGCCCATCAGATCTCGTGAGACTTATTCACTATCACGAGAAGAGCAGGAGAAAGACCAGCGCCCTTGATTCGATGACCTCCCCCTGGGCCCCTCCTACAACACGTGGGAATTCTGGGCGATACCATTCAACTAGAGATTTGGGTGGGGACACAGCCAGACCACATCAACTGTGAACATGACAGCTTATGTGCTAGTTTGGGCCTAGGCTCAGAAGGTCTTAAATGCTTCTGTTTTCCTGAGAACCTTGCTGTCTTTATGAGATCAAGCCATGCGAGCCAGCTGGAGGATGACACACCATGGGGAGGAGAAGGAGGGAGCCACTGTTGGTAGCTATCTCATCCCCAGAAGCAGAGCCACCTAGTCAACCAGCAGCTGACCATACACACATGAAGGAGTCCAGTTGTGACAAGAATAGCTCAGTTGAGTTCAGCCTAAATGGCTGTTGAACTCGGTCATAAGGTATTAAGTTTCGGGTGGTTCGTTATGCAATAGCTAACTAATACATGCACCCAGGGCGGGTAGGCTGCCAGGAGTCAGTGAAAGCCGGCTTCCTAGTTACCTGCAAGAAGAAAACACTTTGTAGGTACGAATTCCGCCCCCACCCAACACTTATTAAAAGTTGGATCTTTGGAAAAAAATGTTCCATCATAAAGAAATGGATGTACACGGCCGGGCGCGGTGGCTCACGCCTGTAATACCAGCACTTTGGGAGGCCGAGGTGGGTGGATCACGAGGTCAAGAGATCGAGACCATCCTGGTCAACATGGTGAAACCACGTCTCTACTAAAAATATAAAAAATTAGCTGGGCACGATGGCACTTGCCTGTAATCCCAGCTACTCGGCAGGCTGAGGCAGGAGAATTGCCTGAACCCAGGAGGCAGAGGTTGCGGTGAGCCGAGATCGCGCCATTGCACTCCAGCCTGGGTAACAAGAGCGAAACTCCGTCTCAAAAAAAAAAAAAAAAAAAAAGAAATGGATGTACACACGTATATATGTCATTGGTGCTTTTACTAACACAGCCACCACCTCCGATCACAGGAAGAATCAGACAATCGCAGCTTGATCATTAGGGCTAAGGCCAAATAGCAAGGTGAGCCTGCCTTTAGTCCATTTCCTCCATATCTAAATGTTGGAGGTCACGGCTATGGACATATTTGAAGATGTGTTCTCTCCTCTTGGGAGAGCAACCATTCTCCACCCGTGGATATTTTCCTTTGCTCTCCCCTAAGCTTTCTAGAGTCACCATCTCATCCACCATCCGACCAGAGGAGAGATGTTTGTAGCGAGAGGCTGTTCCCTCACCTCTGGCTGAAAAGGGACGTTCAGAACCTTCACCCCGTGACATAAGGGAGGTTAGACCCCTCAGAGCTGCACTTCAATGTGGCAGCCATTGATCACGTGTGGCTATTGAGTATCGGGAACGCAGCTGGTCTGCACTGAAATGTGCTGATAAGGTAAAATACAGAGTGAGCTTCAAAGATTTCGTACCCCAAAATATATGCTTCCTTACCAACTATATATTGATCATATACGAAAATGGTTACATATTGGGTTAAATTATTACACTCAACTTCACCTGCTTCTTAGTACATTTTAAACTGTGGCTTCTAGAACATTTAAAATTCACACGTGGCTCACATTCTAATTCTTGGAGGCTTACGTCCTGTTTGAAATTTCAGGTTGTCTGTTCAAAGGACCAAAAGCCAGGAAGGCCATAAAATATGAACATTTACAATGACTGTCATTATTTTCTTTCCTTGGTGAATAACATACATTTATTTTTATAAATGAACCCAACCACAGTCACTCTGGAGAAAGGAAATGCAAATATCCTGTAGGTGCCGCCGAACTGCGCAGGTAGGAAGCCTTGCTCCAAAAGACCGCAGCTGGTACCTGTCATTGCTCTCATTCGGCCCTTTGTCCGATTACAGCTCCTGTCACTCAGGGCCTCAGGGGCGGGGTGTGAAGCCCTTATCCAATCAGAGGCGCGGGGGCGGGGACTGTCCAATCAGGCAAGCGTGTGGAGAGGAGAGGACGGCTTCCGGGATCTGGCGGGGCCTTTGTCCGGACCGGGCTCCACTTCCTGTCCCCGCAGCTCTGCGTCGTTGGCTTGCCGTTGGCCCTGTGACCCGGATGCACCGGGAGAGCCAGAAGTGAAACGGAGGCTCCCTGGAAGCCAGGAGATGGTGAGTGTAGCGGCCAGGCCTCCTGAGACACGGCGGGGGGCGGGCTGGAACCCGCGGTACCGGCTGGGGAGGAACCGGGCTGCCCTGGCGGGTTCCGGGCTCCGCGGTCCCGAGGCCCCTCCAGCCGCACCATGGCGGCCAGCCCAGCCCCGCGCGTCCCGGCGCATCCTTGGAGAGCGGCTTCGGCCCGAGCCCAGACCCCTCTTCCCCCGGCAGCTCTTCGCCCGCAGACCCGCGTCTCCCCGAGTCAGGAAGGGCCAATCCCGGCTCCGCGTGTGGTTTGTGCATAGGACGATGACCTGTGGCCTGTGGGGCCCGGTCCTCTTTCTCCCGAGGGAGTCCTTGCAGAAATTAGAGTTTTATTTGAGCGAAGAGAGGTTCCTGGATGGCAGAGGACCCAGCCATATTTTTTTGGTTTGGCCGCCCCACCAGCCGGCCCTGAAGGAAAGGCTTTTTATCAGGTGCATGAGGAAGCAAAGCACATTCATTCATTAGTTGGGTACAGTTATGTCGTCTCTGGATTTGAGCTTTCTAGGTTGAAATTTTCTGGTCATGCAGTCAGAGGTTAATTAGAGGTTCGTGGTGGATGAAGCCTGAATTTTGTTTCTGCAAGATAGTCATTTGCAAGGAACGCATCTGAGTTAGATTTTTTTTTTCTTTTTTAACTTAACCCACAGCACTAGAGCCGCTTAAGCTGGGTTGCCTGCTGTTTGATTACTTTAACACTCCACAGAAACCTGGTTTTTCCCTGCACTTTCCAAATGTATTTCAAGCAGGGTCTCAAAACCACCACCACGTTCTTCAGGCCTGCTGCAAAATCCTAAATTTCCTGTTTCTTCCAGACATTTCCAAATGCTGATTTCCCCTTTCTAGTTCACAACGTTATCGACTATTCATCCTTGGCTGTAATTTTAGACACAGTATTTTAATGAATCATTTTTTTCACAATGCATTGAATGGCACTTTTTTCTTTTCTTTTCTTTTTTTTGAGACGGAGTCTTACTCTATCGCCCAGACTGTAGTGCAGTGGTGCGATCTCAGCTCACAGTAACCTTTGCCTCCTGGGTTCAAGCGATTCTCATGCCTCAGCCTCCCGAGTAGCTGGGGATTACAGGCATGTGCCACGACACCTGGCTAATTTTTGTATTTTTAGTAGACACGGTGTTTTGCCATCTTGACCAGGATGGTCTTGAACTCCTGACCTCATGTGATCTACCGCGATGGCCTCCCAGAGTGCTCACACTGAATTACAGGCGTGAGCCACCGTGCCCGGCCTGGATGGCACTTTTTAAGACATTTCTGTTTGTAATCATTCCACATGACAGGAAAGCAGAGAATCATCCCTGACACTGTTGTAAAAAAATCTTTGTGCCTCTCTCTCCTCCTTTTTATTTTCCCTTGGCACAGACACCTTATCAGAATGCCTTTGGTTTGAGGTTCCACTTTGGAAGCTTTCCAGGGTGATTTGTTCTTAGCCACCCTCTGGAGTTTTCCCTGGGTTTCAGTATTGTCTGGGGCTAACACAAGATGCCCACCATGGCCTTGTCTGCTGGAGCATCTGGTGAATTTCAGCCCCTGGGTTATTTCTTCTCAGACAGCCTGAGGTATGAAATGTGGCCTCTCCAGGGAGCAGCTGGATTCCCTGGGCTGAGAGAAATCTGGTCCACTCTTCCTCTAAAGAGGTAACCACTTGGGACATTAAGATGGTCTTCACCCAACCCAGCTTTCAATCCTTGGAGACGCATTGCTGATCAGCCAATCAGATGTTGCTGTCAGGGGGAAAAGACTGAAATCATTTCTGCCCTTTGGACTCGCTCAGATTCGTGAAGGGAGGCAAAGCGTTTCAAAGGACAAGAAAAACCCACCCCCATGAGGTGGTGCAAAAACCTGTAAAGCAGAATTCACCTGGGCCGCTCAGTGGGGCGCAGTGCAGTGTATCGTGGGAGGGGTCATTGAGCTCTGTGGTGAACAGCATGGAGGTGGGAGGCTCTCCCCAGTAACAGAACAGCCTGACGTGGCGTAAGTCATTAGGCGCGCCTGGTGCAGTCAGCACTACCACTGCCCTTCTTGTCACCTTCACATAATTTGTTCACTTACTGCAACTTTGGTTTTTTAATCGTAAATTTGCATTTTATCAGTAGAGCCTGAAAGGTAAGAAAATACTTACAAAGGCCATGAAGTACGTACGTCCATTTCAGAAAAAAAATTAAATATCTAGTCGTGTAGCTTTCCCTTCTCCAGAGTGATTAAATGTAGAAAGTTACTTGGGTCTGTTCTTTTTTGGGAAATGATTTCCAGCAGAATCCCAGGGCTTAGCTTTGGGAATGCTACCAGGGAAAATAAAATGCTTCTTTGATAGCTGTGGAGAATGTTCACATTTTCTACAAAATATTATGGTAGACTACTTGGTGAGTTACAGAGATTCATCAAAACATTAGGCCCTCCTTCTGCAGGGTGAGTTTGTTGGAGTGAGTATCTCTGCTTTATATCCTTGCTCCAGATTTCGGAGTGTATGCTAAGTTGTAGGAGATGAACTTAGCACTTCTAAAAGTGTTCACCGGCATTGTTTACTATTTGATTTGTTACGGAAATAAGAAGTCCATTGTTTGAAAGCAATAAACACTTTTGCTTTTTCTGTTGATGTGAAAAGTGTGAGTGCCCTACAGTTTCCTTTTCTTCTGTAAACACTGAGTGATTTTGTTGGATGTTTTCATCACTGGGTATTTTCTTACTTAAAACGAAGTGGATAACCCTGATGGGGAAGTTGACCCCAAGAACAGTGACTCCAAGCTAAGGCCAGTATTGAGCCTGCAAAAGAAGGCAACTGAAGGCCTGGCTCAAGCTTGTCCGGCCCGCGGTCCTGGGCTGCACGCCGTCCTGGGCTTTGGATGTGGCCCAACACGAATTCATAAACTTTCTGAAAACATGAGATTAGTTTTGTGTGATTTGTTTGTTTTCAGTCCATCAGCTGTCATTATTAGTGTCTTTCATGTGTGGCCCAAGACAGTTCTTCCCCTGTAGCCCAGGGACGCCGCAGATTAGACACCCCTTGCCTAGCTCGTTCCTCCTGAAGAGCCTCCCCTGCGGGTGCCCCAGCTTGCTCACAGCAACCATGGAAGGAGCCTTTCTACATAGAAGCTACAGAGCCCGGGAGCCTTGGGGAGCACAGGCAATGCAGCTGGAGTTGGGATGGGAGCTGGGGAGGTCTTCCTGGGTGTGGGTGTTGGGATGGGAGCTGGGGAGGTCTTCCTGGGTGTGGGTGTTGTTATCCTGGGGCTGTTTCCTGACTTCATCAAATAAAATAAATGGAGCTTTAGGTAGGAAGTTACTTAATTCTAAAGGAGGATTGCAGCAGGGAGAAGGTACCAGCTATCAGACAAGGGCTTTTATGTGTTTTTATAGGGAGAAGAGAGGACAAGATAGAGGGTGGCGAAACCAGATTCTAGATCCCGGAATGTTTTACTCTGAAATCAGTGTGTTCTTGGGAGGGGCAAGAAGTGGGGTTGTATGTTGGCTCAGATTGAGGGTAGGTCACAATTGAGGGGCTTGTCGGAAGGAGAGAGATTTTTGCAGATTTTGATAGAGAAGTGTTTTGTTTTGACCACTGCAGATGGAATTGTTCAGCTGATCGTTTATGTGGGGAAAAAATATGGGAATTTTCAAGCGTTTGTATCTGGCTATGTGGTAAGTAACAAAGGGGATGTCATCTGAATCTTCATAGAAACGGGTTTCTCTTGATTCAGCTGTTCCTGGAGAACACAAGGAAGGAGCAGGTCTGTTCCTCAGGACTCTTGGCCAGAATCCTTGAGGCACTCCTCCTTCCTCATCGCTTTCCCCTGCTCTGCGCAGCTCTTCTCCACATTACCGATATGTATCTTTTTTAGCAAACCAGTAAATGTAAGTACAGTGTTTTGCTGAGTTATTTGAGTAGTTTTATTGAATTACTGAACTCGACAGGAGGTTATGGAAGTACCCAGTTTATAGACGGTAGGTCAGAAGTATAAGTGGGTGTCCCAGGCTTGTGACTGGCATCTGGGGTGGGGCAGTGTTGTAGGACTGAGTCCTGAACTTGGGGGGTCTGAGCTGGCTCTAAGTGGTGTCACAATTAAAATACCGCACACTTGGCCGGGTGTGGTGGCTCATGTCTGTAATCCTAGCCCTTGGAGGCCAGGAGTTGGAGACCAGCCTGACCAACTTGGTGACACCCCATTTCTAGTAAAAACACACCACTGTGATACCAGCTACTCGAGAGGCTGAGACATGAGAATTGCTTGAGCCTGGGAGGTGGAGGTTGCAGTGACCTAAGATTGCAACACTACTCCAGCCTGGGCGACAGAGCGAGACTCTGTCTCAAAAGAAAAGAAAAGTTAGGCAGTCAGTTGGTGCTGAAGAACTGGTTGGGGTTGGACAAACGCCACACATTTCGAGTCAGGAGAAAGGCATCTCAGGCCGGGGGTGGAGGGAGACTCTGGGTGTCTGGGAAAGCAAGGCCGTGTTCTGCACGTAGGCCATCACGTTGCACCTTGTCCTGTGATTCTGGGTCCCTGAGGGTGAGAGGGGACTGAGAACTTGGAGGGAAAAGGTGCTTACCACAGACAGCGTCCTCCCAAGCTGTCATCAGGATTCCCACCCACTCAGGAACGCTGCCTTGCCCACACCGCTTCACAGACTAGGCATCCCCTTCAGGAGTTTCACTACAGCACCTTTGGAGTTAGAATTTCCCACCCAAAACCCACACAGGTGCCTTCAGGACCCCTGGTGTGTCCTCAGCCCCAGAAACGGAATCTGCTGCAGGAGCCTATGTCTGCCACCAACTCTGGGTCCCCCAGTTGTGCTCTCTTCGGCCTGCAGGGACACAGCCCCGCCCGGGCCGTGGTCTGTGGCACAGCCGGTTTTTCCGTTGACTTGGCACTCTTTGCCATGCTGCATCCTGGGGAGCACCTTTCTCTCTCGATTTGTTTTGCCCACAAACCCCTTTTATGTGCACCTGCTGTGCCCAAGGCCGCCCACCCCTTCAGTGCGTGAATCTAGTGCCTGCTGGAATTAGGATGTTCAGAATTTCAGGACCATGGCCCTAGACCTGGCTGTTGGAAGAACAAATACAAATGAGAAATAAGAGGCTTAATTCTCTCACTCAAAAATAAGGAAACGATTGTTTTCGTCTCCCATTTCTGAAAAGATTTACTTTAGGACACTTTGATCTGCAAGTTGTTTCTCTGCTCTTCTGAAATACATGTAAGTCACTGAAACAGGTCACTGAGGCTTTTGTCATTCTTTTAATTCAGGATTGTCTTTGTGTAGGGCCTGAGAACCATGGCTTAGTTTTTGTTTTTGATTTGGCAGACATTTATTTTTTTCCATTTTCAGTCTTTTCAAGTAGACACAGATTTGCTTAGAATGAAGAGTACGCGGCAGTGGAGCGCCAAGCTGAGGACTGAGTCCAGCGATGCAGAGGGTTGCGGGGTACAGGATGCGAGAGCCTTGGACAGAGGCTGGTCGTCCGCAGTGGCTGCTTCAGGTCTGGAGGCTGAGGGCCTTACCCTGACTGCCAGAGCAAGGGCAGCTGAGCGTGTCAGCTAAACTGGGGAGTTTGCGGCTGCACCTTCTTTTCTATTTATTACTTAGGAACAACTAGCAGAGTTATATGCCATTTTTAGTAGACAACTTGCATCCATTTAAATTAAACAATGTTTTCTACAATAATGTGAACATAAAGGCATAGTATTTATTTTGGAAAAAAACCCTTACATAGTAATTTTAATATCAATGTTATTCATTCTTTTGAAATATAAAGTGTTGTAACTGAATTAAAGTTACAAAGAGTTTTTAAATACCACCTACATCATGACGGGTATATTAAAGTTATTCATACTGAGATACTTATATTTAATATCCGAAGAAAATTCACTACCCAATTTTTCCATTTTCTACTCAGAGTCCGCCTGTGTCTCTCCTGCCTGGATCGCCATAGATTCGCAGAGGGCGCCCACGCAGGGTCACGGGAGCTCTGTCCCCCGCACCTGGTCTTTCAGACATCCGTCCCCAGGTGCGCTGTGCAGACGGGCGCAGGATGACAAAATGAGCTGTCTGTGCTTCTGTCTTAGAATAAGAGGAATGAGTCACCCAGGGTGTGTTCCTCCCCTCCAAGAAGAAACCTCCTTGGTATCCAGATGGGAATGACTCCAGTTTTCCGATACTTGAGTAAAAAACAAAAATGAGATCTGGAGATTGAAACTGGTTGATTCCATCGTGTGTAGCATTAGAAAAACAGAGAAGGCAGTCGTGGCCTGCAGACCAGAAACTCTCCGTTTCCAGTAACTGGATAAAGAATTGAATTCAGCCTCAGGGATTAGCACAAAGAAGGGAGTGGTCACAGGGGCTGAGGCTTCTTTTAGGCCATTTTCCTCCTGTGGTTGCTGTGAGTTCTGATGCCACCAGTTGAAGGGACATCCATAGACAGAAAAGGTGGTGATATCATTATTTCTGTTGCTTTTGCCCTGCTAAAACTAAATCGCTTCTAACATATATGTCCTAGAAAATTCTAAAGGTTTTGGTTAAGTTGCTTGTTATTTTATGTGATAAAATAGACAGGGAAGTGGCTCACATAGATTAACATTCTACAAACCCTGAGATTTAAATTTTTGGGGGGCAATTTTAGGAAAAACAGAATTGTAAATACTTAGTAGCACAGAGATCAGAATCTGCATAGTGCCCTCTCCCTACGCAGACATGCCCGGACTGCCCCTCCTCCAGCCTCACCCGGGTCTGGCCTCACCCTGGAATCTCTTCCGATAGAGTTAGCTACCCAGTTAAATCAGAGTTTTGGGTGGTGACTCCTGCTGCCTCTCCAGAACTGATATTCATAATTTTCTGAAACCCCAAAGCAGATAAATGGGATCAAAGCACTGTCTGTTTTGGGGCCTTAATTTTTTTTTTTTTTTTTTTTTACTAATACCAGTGCTTTTGGAGGTACTGCATACAGCAGCCTGTCTCTCAGTCCTGTGGGCCTAATAGGTGCCTCACAAGCCACAGGAAAGTGAATGTAAACACGGCGGTGGAAAATGCCTCCGCACTGGACTTCGACCTCTCTGCGTCCGCTCCATTGGTCCACATGGAACTTTATACACTTTTGAAAAGTCAACGATAGAAAAACAGAAAAAGAAATACAAAGCCTGGGCTGTTGGTCTATATCTTGAGAGTTCCCGGATACTTGGCACCATCACCCACGCTGTGACGGGCGTTAACACACGTGCTCTGGCACATGTTCTGAGCACACAGTGCCTGCTTCATGGACACTGCATTCATATGTGTGCCCAGTTTTCCAAACGGAGACAGATTCAGACAGTGCTTCCTTCTCCAGCCCTGGAAAACTGTAAAGAGCCAGAAAATAACGTAATCTTTCAGGGTGGAGATTGGCCGTCTCCATCTGCACCAGAAAGAGCTTGTGCGGTGGTAAGAGGGCTGGGCGTCAGGGCCTGTGCAGGGGTCGCTTCCTTTAGCTGAGCGCGAACGTCACCGTCAATGGCAGAACTGTTAACCAGTCCAGCCCGTGAGCCCTTGGCCATCTTCAGAAGCACAGGACCCACAGTGGGACCAGAATTACCAAATGGTTTCTATGCACGTTGAAGCTTGAGAAGCTGGGCTTAGCTAAATGGTTCTCAGCTGGCTTCTGATTAAATCACATGGGCAACTCGAAAAAATGCCCTCCCCGCAGATTCTGTTGGTTTGGGTGGAAGCACCAGTGCTCTTTGAGTCACATGCTTCACGGGATTCTGAGGTGTGACCAGTCAGTTACGAGGGGATTCAGATGCTTTTGTGAGAGTTGAGTTCAGCCTTGATTCCAAAGGGAGGTCACAGGGCCTCCTCGGCTTGGGTTTCAGAGGGGCGGTTCAGTGCAGCTTACGTTCCTGTTGCTGTAGCAGAATTGCTGCTCTTTGTGGCGGGGAGGGCGCCTGAGAGCAGGAAGAGAAACTCATATTTTGACGTCCAGGGAGAAGTTTACTGTTCCTGAATCTCTTCAATAAAGAACAGAAAAGCGTGGCCTTTTCCTGTGTTTCTAGGTCTTCCTGTTGATGGGTGTGGTGGTGGCAGGTGAAAGGGTTGCGCTGACACCTTTAAAGGCATGTTCTCATGACGCAGGTGTGATTTGTCCAGAGAATCTTACCTAAGAGGAAACCCCAAAGAAGCAGGAGAAAGAGAGAGAAATGGCTGGTGCTCAGGTAAATGCATCTCAGGTCAGGGGTTGTGTCTGCTTTTGCTCCTGAAATGTCACGTGTTAGAATTTGGAAGGCTTTACTTTTCTGCTTGCGGTGTTTCTGTGTGATAAGTTTGTTTCAACTACTTTTTTTTTCTTATAATAATGAAGGGTCGCTGAAAATGTTTCTTTTCTAAATACCAAAGCCTTCTCTGTGTTCTCTTCACCTTGACTTCTTCTGTGCCATGAAGAATTCTCTCCATGACTTCATGATCTGCAGTATTAAAAATGTTCACTTTGTGGCACTGAACATGGGGAGGTGTGGATATGCAAGATTCCTGTGAGGATGGGGAGTGGTTTTTGGATGTCAGCGAAGAAGGGAAACATACACCATTTAGGTTTCATCTGGATGCTCCATCAGTTGTATGCAGAACAGCGTTAAGAAAATAAACATTTAAACCAGATGGCATTTATTGCCCAGAATAACTCAGAACATTCTGGAAAAGAGAAAAATGAAAAGACACTTGTTTTTTAGAGTGCTAAAGAAAGACTGTTTAATTACACTATTAGAGATTCCTGCTGGGCACAGTGGCTCACGCCTATAATTCCAGTACTTTGGGAAGTTGAGGCGGGTGAATCACTTGAGGCCAGGAGTTCGAGACCAGCCTGGCCAACATGGTGACATGGTGAAACCCCTGTCTCTTCTAAAAAAAAAACCAAAAAACAAAAAACAAAAATTATCTGGGCGTGGTGGCACATGCCAGTAGTTCCAGCTACTCAGGAGGCTGAGGGACGAGAATTGCCTGAACCGGGGAGGCTGAGGTAGCAGTGAGGCGAGATCATGCCACTGCATTCCAACCTCTGACAAGAGCGAGACTCCGTGTCAAGAAGAAAAGGAAAGGGGTTACAGAACATGGGAGAGACTTGTCTCTTCAACTGGGCATAAAACTGATTGTTCTGTATGATTAGTTCAGACTCTAGTTCACTTTTTGGCCAGCATCACACCAGCAATATGTCTCCTCTGTGCATTGGCACATGATAAAAATCTGTCCTATGACAGGTGGTGTTCATCTTATTCAGTTGGTTAAAGAGCTCTCTGACAGATTTTTCCATTGTAGATTTTAATTATTTTTTCTCTATTGTTAAGTACGTTGAGGAGATTTACTAATTAATGTATGTAAATAATCACATTTAATCTGAAAGTTCTTTGCTTCTTAGATTCTGTTTTTGCATATGCCTTGCTTTAGAAGGTAAAGAATCTCATCTCTGTTTATCGTTCATAAAAACTGGGATAAACTCAGGCTCTGCCTCTTACAGGATGTCTGACAAAATACTGGCTTTGGACCCAAAGAGCTGGCATCACTGTGCGCATGTTAGAAATTCAGAAGCTCATGCTTGCTCAGGTGTGCTGAAGCAGAGTCTGCATGAGACCTCTAGTTTATTGGGCACATTAAATTTGAGAGGTAACTTCTGACTCTCCATGACTCTCCAGTCTGAGAAATAGACACGCCTTACTCATGTGATGGAAACGTGGCACTCAAAAGTGGACATGCCGTTGTTGATGCCCTTGATTTTACACTTTATCCTACAGAAGAGTACTCCGTGTACACTGCTTGTGTGGGTCTTATGCGATTCTGTTTCCGCAGCTAGAGTACGTTAGAGAAAATTCTTGGGCTAAAAATCACCTTACGGTATAATTCCCGCCACTCGTACAAGTCAGAAGCAGTTCTCTTCACACACTCATTTCACCTGGAGTCAAATTAAGAACCTGCCCAAAGCCACGTGGTAAGTGTTTGTTCTTATTGTTGTTTCTTCCTCAGAAAGTGTTGACGTTCAGGGATGTGGCCATAGAATTCTCCCTGGAGGAGTGGAAATTCCTGGACGCCGCTCAGCAGAATCTGTACAGAGATGTGATGCTAGAGAACTACAGAAACTTGTTCTCCATCGGTGAGGATGACCTCGAGGCGTGACTCCTCAGAAGCCCTACAGAGTTCCTTCCGTTCCTTTGCAGAATGTTTTTTTGGGAGTTTCTGCGTTGCATGAATGAGTTTCAGATCCCTGCTTTTAAGAAAAACATGGGGATTTGTTGACGTAAAAAAAAAAAATCGTCCAAGTGTGGTTCATCTTCCCATAAACCTTCCTCTTTTTTTCAGCTGATATGTATCTTTGACTGTAGTGGTAATTCCAGAAATTTAGTGGCGTGAAATATTGTTGCCCGCATGTTAAAATCAAATTTCCACCACTGATTTTCGATTCAGCAGTACTGAGTGGTGAAGCTAAGACCCCACAGATTTAAAATACTGACAATTCTAACGGTTACATCAGGAATCATTTCTGGATTACTTTTCTAGAATCTTCTACAATGTTCACTCTACTAAGCATAGTACAAGGTTGGTAACTGGCGAATTTCAGCATAATGTCCCTTTTTTCTAATAAAACAGGTCTGACTGTCTCTAAGCCAGGCCTGATCACCTGCCTGGAGCAAAGAAAGGCACCATGGAATCTGAAGAGACGGGAGGCAGCTGATGGACATCCAGGTGGGTGGAACTTAACAAAGCAGGTAATCCAGGTGAGAGGTCCAGGGGCTGCGGAGGAAGCCAGACCTTAACATGTGGCTTGGGAAGCTCCACTCCAGTAGAGATGGGTTCTTTCTCTGGCTGTCCCCTCGGCGCGTCTTCTGTCTTATTCTCTTATATTTTCTCCAGATTCCGCTTCCCAGGTAGCCATCTTCCTTCAGGTCACAATAAACATCAGAGCGCTCCTCCTGCCGACTAAGGGCCTGTGTGGTCTCACTGCTTGCTTGGCCTCTGCTTTTGAGAACGGGCATGTCCCTGCACATTGTTGAGGAACTCTGTGTGAAATGTTTCTTCATTTCCGCTTTTGCATCAGGTCTGAAATGTGTGAGAGGGGTGGTGATGGTGTTTGCTTCGGAAACTCCACAAGTCCCGCAAACAGAGATGAGTGTTTTCGGCTTTATGATTTTGTATCCTTCAGAGGTTTCACATGGGAGTCTACAGAAAGTTATACTCAGTCATTTTCCCCAAACACGAAGCATCTGCCCCAATATGAGATAATCTGGTTATTTTACTTCAAAATTGTGTTTTTTTTAGTATGAACTGAGGTTGGTCATTTGAACTCTATATTCCCCAGTGTCCAACTGTAATAGTTACAAGATTATCATTTTATAATTTCCTCTTTTTTAGTATGAAGCTTATCAGGACTGTGTCATTCTTGTGCATCTATGTGTGTGTATGTTTATATGTGTGTGGATATATCATGTATGCGTATGTATCATATATCAACATCCTGTTGAAATGATAGGATTTCATTCTTTTTTATGGGGGAGTAATAGTCTGTTTATTTAAATCATATTTTTTTTTGTCCATTTGTGTGTATATACACACACACACACACATACAGGTGTGTGTATATATATGGGCATATGTATAACAGATTATTTTAGAAATAATTGTGTATGCATTGTGTACAGTGTAATAATTGGATATGTGTATACGTTGTGAAATAATTAGTGCAATCACATTAAGGAACAATTACGTTACTTCACATAATCACCTTTCCTTGCAGAGAGAACACTTAAGGTCTGCTGTCAGCAAATTTTAAGCATAAAACATTATCAGCAGTATTCATAACATGACTCACTAGATTCGCCAAACACTCATCTTACAACTGAAAGTTTGGACCTTTTGAACAACATCTCATTTTCCCCAACTCCAGGCCCTGGCAGCCACCATTGTCCTCTGCTCCTGGGAGTTCAGCCATTACAGATGTCCTGTGTTTCTGGGCCTGGCTGAGACGATTCAGCATCATGTCCTTCAGAGTCATCCATGGTGTTGAATGACAGGATTTCATTCCTTTTTTATGACCAAGTAATATTCTATTATCTATTTATATCATATTTTCTTTTTCCATTCAGCATCCACAGACATTTAGGTTGTTTTTCTATGTAGACAATTGTGAATAATGTTGCAGTGAACTTGAGTGAGCAGATAATTCTTCAAAGTACCACTTTTATTTCCTTCAGTGATACACAGAGTGGGATCGCTGCACTGTAGGGTGGGTTTACATCTCTTTATTTGTAAGTGGCCTCCCTCCTGCTTTTCCAATGACTACCGAATTGTTTTTGCTCTACATCCTTGTCAACATTGTTATTAGGCTGGTGAAAGTTAAGTGTGTTTTTTACCATTTAAAGGGCAAAAACCACAATTACTTTTGGAAAGTCCTAATACATGAGTTATTTTTGATACTCGCCATTCTAACATCCAAACGCTTGATTGTAAGTCGTCTTTGGTGTGCAGAAGCCTTTAGTTTAATGCACTCCAGCTTGTTGATATTTACGTTTGTTGCCGTACTTTTGGTGTCATACATTGCCAAGACCAATGGCAAAGAGGCTTTCTCTTAGAGTTTTTAAGGATACATGTTTTACGTCTAAGTCTTTATTTCAAGCTAATTTTTGAGTATGGGGTAAGAAAGATTACTTATTTCACTATTTTGACGGTGGGTATTCTGTTTCCCCAGAACCAAGCGTGGAAGAGACTATGCTGTCTGCATTGTATGTTCTTGTCGCCCTTGTGGAAGATGAGCTGAGTTGCTATGCGGGAGTTGAATTCTGGGCTCTCCGTTCTGTTCCATTGGTCTCTGTGCCGGTTTTCTTCTCTGCTCACCCACCATCCTGTTCTTACCACTGTGGTCTTACAATGTAGTTTGAACTCAGAAAATATTATGCCTCTCGCCTTGTTCTTTTTCCTACAGATTGCTTTGGCTATGCCAAGTTTATTGCAATTCCATATAAATTTTTGAATTATGTTTTCTATCACTATGAAAAAGGCCCTGGAATTTTGGTAATTTTCAATGGATCTGTAGTCTTGGTCTCTAGCAGAATTGTACAGCCCCCTCCTTGGATTCCAAAGCTCCGTTACGGGCATTTTTTTTGAGATGAGGTTTCTCTGTATCACCCAGGCTGGTTCTGAACTTCTGGGCTGAAGTCAGCCTCTGCCCCCGAGGTCCTGAGTAGTTGGGATTATAGGCATGAGCTGTGGAGCCCGCTCTCTGGGAAAGGCATTCTCGTCCACAGCAGACCGACACGTTTTTGTTGCTGCTGGGGTTAATATAAGCCGGCCCACCTATTTCACCGCCTTTCTGTGTCGTTTTCACTTTCTCTTTTGTTCCATTTCAAATTTATCTGTAATTTCAAAGTCTCATCTTCAGAACGATATGCTAGAAATTAGCATGTTCTGTCTGAATTAAATTCTTTAGTGAGCACTCCATATTTATTGAATGACTGCTGCAGAAAGAAGTCATAGCGTTTTATCCTGTTTCTCCAGTCTGTATAAATGGTAATATGATTTATTCCCAAATGTTTATTTTATATGTCAGTGCCTCTCAGCATATTTTACGTGATTTGTACTTTTCTCTATTTAGAAATATGAGGTCACTCCTTGCTTCTGAAAGTTGGATGGCAGCATTTTCATTTTGCAGAAGAGCAGCATCAGTATAGTAAACATACAATAAAAATTACCTTTAGTATCTTCTCGTTAGTCATTAAAATGTTCTCGGTAGAATCTTTCATTAATGATTGTAGTGCATTTTCTCTGAAATTTGACTGCTGTGCACTGCGTGCCGGTGATTCAGAATACCTGCTTTTCATGATTACACAGTCACAGTTGAGTATTGTAGTTATCTAGGCAAATTCTTTTTTAACGGTGCATCGCTGTTTCATAGCGGATGTCATGACCAACACCTCTCTTGGTGTTTTGTGATTCCATGACTGTTTCTGTGGTTGCATAGTGTTCCCTTGTATGTATATGCCACGTTTCCTTGTATGTATATGCCACGTTTCCTTGTGTGTGTTCATCACTTGAGCCTGCCCCCATCTGAATTTTCTGAGTACTAGCACAATAAACATGGGTGTGTAAATATCTCTTCCAAGATCTGAGTTGCTTTGTGTACTTTTGATAGAGACCGGGAGGTAGGATTGCTGGATCATATAATTCCATGTTTAAGTTTTTGAGGGACATTTATGTTATTTTTTTTTTCAGAGTCTCACTCTATCACCCAGGCTGGAGTGCAGTGGCACCATCTCAGCTCACTGCAACCTCTGCCCCATGGGCTCAAGTGATCCTGCCCCTTCAGCCTGCAGAGTACCTGGAACTACAGGTGCACACCACCACACCCAGCTAACTTTTGTATTTTTAATAGGAACAGGCTTTTGCCATGTTGTCCAGGATGGTCCTCGAACTCCTGGGCTTCAGTGATCCACCCGCCTCGGTCTCCCAAAGTGCTGGGATTCCAGGTGTGAGCAGCGCGCCTGGCCTGTGCTGTCTGTCTTTGTGGCTGCGTCCTTTGTTTCCTGCCAGCAGTTCACGTGGTTTTCAGTGTCTTCACATCCTTGACAGATCTGGATCTTTTTAACAGTGGCCATTCTAATAGCTGTGAGGAATACCTTCCTTGCGATTTTGTTCTGCATTTCTCTACAGTGAGTAATCTGGGCATTCGTTCAAGTGCTTGCCGGCCGTTTCCATATCTTTTCTGCAGAGATTTCAGTCAGTCCTTCATCTGTTGTTAAGTGAAGTTACTTAATTTTTGTTTTTGAGTTGTGAAAGTTTCTTACATACTCTGAGTATTAACTCCTATCATATTTGTGATTTGCAAGTAATTTTTTCCCATTTCTTAGGTGGCATTTTCATTTCACTCATTGTTTTCTTTGATTTGCAGAAAGTTTGAAGTTTGATATAGTTCAGTTTTTCTGTTCTATTTTTGAGCTTATGCGTTTGATCTATGTTTTCTTCTAACAGTTATATTCTATTTTTATGTTTAAGTATTTCATTTAAAATATTTTTGAATATGGTACAAGGAAGAATATTACTTCATTTTTCCTTGTAGATATCTAGTTTTTAGCATCATTTGTTGAAAGGAATCTTTTCTCCATTGTGTGATCATGGAGACCTTGTGGAAGATTATTTGGTTTTATCCACAAGGGTTTATTTCTGGAGTCTGTTCCGTTTCGTCATGTAGTTACCTGTCTCTGTGTCAGTACCACATTGTTTTATTTTTATAGCTTTTTGTACGTTTTGAAATCAAAGTATAATGCCTCTGTGTAAAGAGTTTTGGCTAGTTATTGTTCTTACACTCATTTTAGGATTAGAAGAATCAAAAAGTGCCACTGGCAGGCAGTTGGATAGAGATTGCACTGAATGTGTACATCAATGTGGGCAGTGCTGGCATCTTAAAAAACACACACGGAATTATCTGACCATTGAGCAAGAATGTGTATGCTCAAGGGTGTTACACGTTTTTGGCATTGCCAGTTTCACTTTTGCTTTTGATTTCTAGTGTAGTTACATTTTGGTCAGAAAACACGTTGTGTGACTTCAGTCTCAAGGAGTCGCCATGTGTTCTGACAGAAGGCGCTATGTGCAGCCGAGAATATAGCAGATTCCGCTTCCCGTGACCGGAGAGTTCTGTACATGTCTGTTAAGTTTGTTTGGTTGGTAGTGTTGCCCAGGCTTTCTTACTGTTCTGTGGAATTTTCTATTCTGTGTTGAAAATGGGGTCTTAGAGTCGATGATTGTTTTTTTACTGTGTATGTTTTGCTTCACATCTCTCCATATCCGCTTGATGTATCTGGGAGCCCTGATGTTAGACCGAAATGTAGACAGATGAACAGTTGCAGATTCCTGATTAATGGTCACAGTCACCGTTAGATGCTCTTAATCTTTGTCCCCTTGTATTATTGTGTCTGTCAGATGTAATGGTGACCACCCCACCTGACTGTGGTTACTAATTGCATGGAATTTCTTTTTAATTCTTTCCGCCTGTTTTACTATTTAAGGCTAGAGTCTTTCGTAGAGAGCATATTGTTCTTGATTGGTTCAGCTGTTTTGTTTCTGTTCATTAAGTAGCTTAATTTATGTCTAAAATAGCGTCTGAAGGAAATGAAGCTCCTGTTACCGTCTGGATTGTTGTTTTCTGCCCTTCTCGTGGGTGTGCTGTCCCTCATTTCCTCTCTGACTGCCTTCATCATTTGGTGCGTTGGTGTTTGTGTGCTGTCCTTTCATTTTGTGCTCATTTTGTTTTGCAGACTGTATCAAGGTATTTTCTTTGTGATGACCTTGAAAAATGGAGAGTACATAGAACACCTTCAAAGGATAAATACAGATTTTAATCTCACAACTTCATTGAATACAGAAACTGTAACTCTTTACACCCTCCAGTGTGCTGTTAACGTAACAAATCATTATATATTTTGTGTGTGGTAGCAAAGATACATGCAGATATTTTTTCAGATATAGTCGAACCCTGAGTTTTTACACTGTCATGTGAGAGTAAAGTACTATATATCTGCTTACGTACCCACCTTTAACAGAGAGGTTGGTATTTTCAGATGGTTTTATAATGCTGTCTAGCGTCACTGTATTTTTAACATAATGGAGTCTTTTCAGTCGTTTTTTTAATATATTATAGAAATGGGGTCTTGCTCTGTTGGCCAGGCTAATTCCTAACTCCTGACCCCAAGCAATCCTCCTGCCTTGGCCCACCCAAAGCTGGTATTATGGACATGAGCCACCATGCCTACCCAACCTTTAGCATTTCTTAGAGAACTGTACTAGTGGCAGTGAAGGCCCTTATCTTTTTATTTATTTTGGAAAAGTCTTTATTTTTCCCTTGTTCTTTTGAAGTAAAATTATTCTCAATCAAGTGTTCTTGGTTAGTAACATTTTAATCTTACTGAAATTTGGAAAGTTAATAGCATGTTTTTCTTCAAATAATGCCTCTGCTACTTTTCTGCTATATATTTTTTCTGTGACTTCTTTCATGAAATATTGGTTTACATCATGATATTAAATAAATTCCATATTTTAGCTGTTACATTTGTTTTACAGTTTTATTTCCCTGTGTTTCATTTTTAAATCTGTGCTACAATTTTGTCTAATTGTGTATCTTTGTACCAGTACCAATCTGTTTTAATTACAGTCGCCTCGTAATGTGTTTTGAAATCAGGCAGTGTGATACCTCCAGCATTGTTCCTCTTTTTGAAAATTGTTGGGTGTTTTATGGTCCCTTGAGATGTCTTGTGATTGTTGGGTTGTTGCTTTTATTTCTGCAGGAATCGGATTAGAAATTTGAGAGAGATTGCATGGAGTTTGTAGATGCATTGGATGGTGTGACCATCTTTGCAATATTAAGTATTTCAACCCTTGAACCAAGAGCATGCTCAAATATGTTTTTTAATTGCCATATATTTATGAATTTTTTTTGTTTTTGTTATTTCCAGTGTATTTTCATTTTGGTCATATGTAATAATGAGGAAGACTTCAGTTTTTTGAAATTTGTTAAGACTTATTTTGTCCAGGTGGTGTATCCTGGATGTCTTCTGAGCTCTTGGGAAGAGTGTGCCGGTGTGGTGTGGGGTGTTCTCTCTGTGTCTGTGAGGTGTAATTATTTGGTAGTGCTTGCAAGTCCTCCATACAATTACTAAGGCTTGCTGCTTTATTCATTATTGAAAGTGGGTTGTAGAAGCATGCTAGTATTAAGCCGGACGTGGTGGCTCACGCCTGTAATCCTAGCACTTTGGGAGGCTGAGGTGGGTGGATCACCTGAGGTCAGGAGTTCAAGACCAGCCTGGCTATCATGGTGAAACCCCATCTTTAAGAAAAAAAAAAAAAAAAAAAAAAAAAAAAAAAAAAAAAGAGAAGTATACTACTATTCTATTGCTATTTCTTGCTTAGATGCTATAATTATTTGTTTATAAAGAACCTGCAAAATTGAAGCAAGAAATAGCAATATAGTAGGAGGATATGTCAATACCCAAATATCTATACAAATATACACACGTTTGTCGTAGGTTCCCAGTTTATTTTCCTTTTTTTCATTGTTTTATGTTCTTGTTTTTTGTGAGTTCTGACTTAAAGTATGTTTTATGAAGTACGACAGTTTTTGACTTGAGATGTATTTTGCATCATGTAATTGCTCTCCCTTCATTAACATTTGCATGAAATGTGTATTTCCAGCTTGCCACTTTCAGTCTTTCTATCATTAGATCTCAAGTGCGTCTCTTGTAGATTAGCTGTCGTTTGGTCTTGGTTTGGTTTTAAATGATTTAACATGCCTTTTGATGAACTGACCCTAAGTAAACAGTTTACTGAAATGAAAGATGCACTTTAGTCACTGTACCCCTTTCCTTGATTCTTGTAGCTTTTTCCTTCTCTCCCTTTTGTGTCCTGTACTTTGTATAATAATAAACTTTGACTCCTTTTTAATTTTCTTTTGTGTGTAGATATTTTCTTAGCAGCATATTTTCTTGTATTACCGTGGAAATTATATTAAACATCTTACCATTATAATAAGACATTTTATACTGGTAAATACTTAACTTTAGTTGTATATAAAAATTTTGTTTTGTTTTTGTTTTCTGAGACAGAGTCTCTCTCTTTCGCCAGGCTGGAGTGCAGTGGCACAATCTCAAGTCACTGCAACCTCCACCTCCTGGGTTCAAGCGATTCTCCTGCCTCAGCCTCCCGAGTAGCTGGGATTACAGGCGCTACAAAAATTCTTTCTTATTAAATCTGCCCTCAACTTTGTTACTGATATCACTAAATCATTTAATGTTGTGCATCCATTAACACATATTTATGATTGTTTTTCTGCTTTTATCTTTCCAGTTTTGGATAATTGAAAGTGATTTCTGCACCACTGTTATAGCACCACAGGATTTGAGTTTCCTGTGCATGCGTAACTTTTTCATGTATTTCTGTATTTTGACCATGATGTATTATTTCTTAGCATCACTTTATTTTCCGTGGGAAGGATTCCTTTTTCCGTTTCTTATTTGACATGTGTAGCCCTTGGTTATCTTAGAATGTCTTTATTTTTTATTACTTTGTGGGACACTGGTTATATTATTCTTGCTTGGAAGTTTTCTTTTCAGCAATTCGATGATCTCATCCAGTTCCCTTCTTGCTTCAGGTTGTCCCTTTTTTGAGACAGTCTTACCAAGGGAATGTATTCTCTTAGCAGGTCCGCGAGGGGGTGTAATTTTAGGGGAAGAACTTCCCAGTGCCGTGCCCCCTCCCATCTCTCTCCATCCGGGAGATTCAACAGTTCCTGCCGGTGGGAAGAATCAAAGTCAGTCACTCCAGCCAAAGTTCTGAGGAACTGCTTTCATTGGCCTGGGGTCTTAGAGAAGGTGGGGGTTCCTCCCAGGTTAAAAGTCCCCTTCTTCCACACCCCTTTGGACTCCATGTTTGGATCTCCTTCCACGAACAGTGGAAGCTGTTTTTCTCCATCCTGGATTTCCCCTCTGGAGTCCCCTTCCACACTTTTCGTGGAAGTTTTTCTGTCTCCTCCTTTTCTTCCCCTCTTTTCTCTACCTAAATAAAATCACCTTCCTGCAACACTTCTTGGGTTCGGTATTTACGAGCTTACCATGCACCTGCTGTGGTCCCCTCTCTCATTCCTGAGAGGGCAGAGACCAAGAACCTACAACATTCTCTCAGGGGCGCTGTGCCTCACCAGCACCCCAGAAACCTGATTACATTACTCTGTCACTCAGGCTGGAGTGTGGTGGTGTGATCATGGCTCACTGCAGCCTCAATTTCCCAGCCTCAGGTGATTCTTCCTCCTCAGCCTCCTGAGTAGCTGGGACTACAAGTACAACACCATGCATGACTAATATTTTTGTGTTTTTTGTAGAGTTGGGATTTCACCATGCTACCCAGGCTTGTCTCGAACTCCTGGGCTCAAGCAATCTGCCTGCCTCAGCCTCCCAAAGTGCTGGGATTACAGGTGTGAGCCGCCACGCCCAGCCTGGCCTTGAGGATTCTGTGGACAAATTCAGTGGTAATCTCATGAGAGCATGCTGATAAATGACACATTGCTTTTCACTTGCCGCCTTCAAGACTCCTTTCTCCTCTGTGACTTTTGAAACTGCTTATATTGTGCCTTATGTCCCTTCTTGTTTATGCTAGTTGATGTGTGTAGCTTCTTGTTTTTTTAATGTGTTTTCATAGTTTTGAGAATTTCTCAGTAATTATTTCCTTTCCTACCTTCAGTTTCTCAGTCTGTTTTTATAGTTTGTATCTTTTCCTTGGTATACTCATTTTCCTAATTTTACTTAGTTTTGTGTTTTCCCATTTTCGCGCATTGAGCATTGTTCAAATGATAATTTTATTTTTTCAGTTAATTTATGCATCTCCCTCGTTTTAGGGTTGACTTCTGAACTCTTTTTATTTCTTCGATTGCGCCACATTAACCTTACACTTTGTAAATGTGCTCTTTGGCTGAGATTCAGGCATGAACAAAGAGCCTCCTGCCACAGCCCTTATGATGTGGCTTTCTGCTGGGGTGGAAGTCCAGAACAAACTGGCCCAGATTCTAGCAGCCTCTTAAGCCCGTTCTGAGGGTGTGTCTTATGTGGAGTTGTGTGTGTACTTTTCGGTGAAAGAGGGTTTCTCAGGTTTCTTCTTAGTGGCGTGTAGTCGCCTGATCCTCCTGTTGCTGCTGCTGCTGCAGCAGCCCTCCTGCCGCTGTCACGGGGACTTCCTCTTGGTCTCAGCAGGCCCAGCCTGTCACTCGGAGGACCCCCATTTCTTTCAGCACTCCATCTCCTGAGGGGCAGAAACCAGTCTTTGCCAAAGCTTGAAAAGGCCAAAAGTGAAAATACCTATACTGGTATTTTCTTTCTCTTTGGAAGGAGAAGCCAGGAGTTGGGGGTTTACTCTTAAAGGCATTATGCTTACTGCGGAGGAGCAGGGGCCGTGGGGGGAACGCAACAAAGCTCTTTTTTCTTCTTCTTATGTGGCTCTTCGCATTGTGCTCACCTGCTGTGCCGCAAACTCTGAAGTGTTCTTAGAGTTCAGATGCTTTTTCTCACTAGTTACTGTTACATTTATATGTTTGCAAAGAAATTAGGGCCTGTGGTATTTTGTGCCATTTTGCTAATATACTCAGTATTATTTTATAGATTAGACTGATAAAGTGTCTTCATCTGTTTCTGGTAAGTGGGGTAACTTTTATTTATTTATTTATTTCAGCTATGTCCTCTCATTTTACCCAAGACTTTTTGCCAGAGCAGAGCATACAAGATGCGTTCCCAAAGTCAATACTGGAAGGATATGGAAATTGTGGCCTTGATAATTTACATTTAAGGAAAGACTGGGGAAATTTAGATGAGTATAAGTTGCAAAAAGATTATAATGGACTTAACCAGTGTTCATCAACTACCCATAGCAACATCTTTCAATGTAGTGAGTGTGTTAAAATCTTTAATGATTTTTCAAATTTACATAGATACAATATAAGTCATACTGGACAGAAACCTTTCAAATGTCAAGAATGTGGCAAATCGTTTCAAATGTTCTCATTCCTAACTGAGCATCAGAAAATTCACACTGGAAGAAAGTTCCAAAAATGTAGACAATGTGGCAAAACCTTTAACCAGTGCTCACACTTTATGGGACATGAGAACACGGACACTGGAGAGAAACTTTACATGTGTAAAGAATGTGACGAAGTTGTTAAAACTTGCTCAGTCCTTACTAAAAACAGAATTTACACTGGAGGGGAACATTACACATGTCAGGAATTTGGCAAAGTATTTAACCCGTGCTCCCCCCTTACTGACCATGAGCGTGGTCCTGAGGGAAAACCCTACAAGTATGAAGAGTGCAGCACTGTCTTTATCTCCTGCTCTAGCCTTTCTAATCAGCAGATGCTTCTTGCTGGAGAGAACCTCTCCAAATGTGAAACATGGTACAAAGCTTTTAACCACAACCCAAATCTTTCCAAACATCAGAGAAGTGAGATTGGAGGGAAACCTTTCAAATGTGAGGAATGTGACAGCATCTTCAGGTGGTTCTCAGATCTTACTAAACATAAGAGAATTCACACTGGTGAGAAACCATACAAGTGTGAGGAATGTGGCAAAGCCTACACCCAGTCCTCACACCTCAGTGAACACAGGAGGATTCACACCGGAGAGAAGCCCTACCAATGTGAAGAATGTGGGAAAGTCTTCAGAACTTGCTCCAGCCTGTCTAATCATAAGAGAACTCATTCTGAAGAAAAACCCTACACATGTGAAGAATGTGGCAACATCTTTAAGCAGTCATCAGACCTCACTAAACACAAGAAAACCCATACTGGAGAGAAACCCTACAGATGTGAAGAGTGTGGAAAAAACTTCACCCAGTCCTCCAACCTTATTGTACATCAGAGAATTCATACTGGAGAGAAACCCTACAAATGTGAAGAATGTGGCAAAGTCTTTATGTGGTTCTCGGACATTACCAAACACAGGAAAACACATACTGGAGAGAAACCCTACAAATGTGAAGAATGTGGAAAGAACTTTACCCAGTCCTCCAACCTCATTGTACACAAGAGAATTCATACTGGAGAGAAACCCTACAAGTGTGAAAAATGTGGCAAAGCCTTTACCCAGTTCTCACATCTGACTGTACATGAAAGCATTCATACCTGAGAAAAAAAATGTATAAAAATAGGCAAAGCCTTTAGTATATGGTCACGTCTTACTTTACATCAGAGTTTTTAATAATAATTTCTTAATAACTTAATGAAGATATTATAAATGTAATGACTCTTGAAAGCCCTTTCATGTAACAAGCCTGCAGAGCACACAAGAGTGTTTCTTCTGAAAACAAAGTTACAATTACATTTTATACTGGATGGAAACTTGCATCAGCTGACTCAACTTTCAGAGAATTTGTAGAGAAACCCTACAGATGTCATAAATGTGGAATAACATAGAAAACAGTTCATACTAAAAGATGTTTTCAAATGCAGTTAATGGGAAAAATAAGCAAAATCAAATTTAAGTAAACGTTGGAGGATTAGAGAAAGGAATAGGGCACCAGCACTTTCAGAAACGACACTGAATCACAGCATCGTCTACAGAGTAATCTAGACGTAAAATGGACCAGTTATTGACATTTAAAAGGAGGGTGACACGGAATTTTTGTGGTTTTAATTACATTCAAAATACACTTTTTTGGATTGAAAAAGTGTTAAATTTTTTGAAACGCGAATGTTGATGTTGTTCAACTCAAATCGATTGATGCCGTGTCTTCATTTCTAGTGCTGGTGTGAGAACACATGCCCAAGTCCTCTTGTAGCAGGCGTGCATGGCTCATACACTTGTCCATGAAAGGTGAAAGACACTGAAACGTGAGATGCATGAGTCAAATCTCGGTAGCGAGGGTCTTCGTGTGTTTTATATACTTGTAAGTGATTTATGAGATAGGTGTTTAGAGTAATACCTGTCTGCATTATAGAAAGAAGGAACCATTTTGAATTTTGTAAATAGTTTTACCTGTATTTCATTAAGGTAATGTACCATAAATTTTGAAGTCCTTTTTAAGATTCTGTGTGAAGTTAATTTGTTTTTGATTAAACACAATTGTGTTAAGCCTGATGTTCATGGAATAAAGTGTCATCCAACCAAAAACCAGTTCCATCCTACTCAAAGGTGTCGGTAACAGACAGTAACAATATACTACCAGGTGGCATGGTGGACATCTCCAGTGATCTCTATTCCCAGTGATTTTTAAAAAATTCTTGGCCGGGCGCAGTGGCTCACGCCTGTAATCCCAGCACTTTGGGAGGCCGAGGCGGGTGGATCACGAGGTCAAGAGATCGAGACCATCCTGGTCAACATGGTGAAACCCCGTCTCTACTAAAAATACAAAAAATTAGCTGGGCATGGTGGCGCGTGCCTGTAATCCCAGCTACTCAGGAGGCTGAGGCAGGAGAATTGCCTGAACCCAGGAGGCAGAGGTTGAGGTGAGCCGAAGGCGCGCCATTGCACTCCAGCCTGGGTAACAAGAGCGAAACTCCGTCTCAAAAAAAAAACAAAAAAACAACAACAAAAAATTCTTTGCCTCTTTTTGTAACTACAGAGTCACTATTATTGCTATCATAAAGATGATAGAGGAGTATAAATAAAATACATATATTTCTCAGTCTTTAAAAATTTTTTTCTATAGTTTTTGTTGGATGTAAAGCTTCTGTGGCCTGCAAAACACATAGATTTAGTTTTGATTTGCATGGAGTTAAATACACAACTCTATTACTATAAAGACAAACCGGCCTGGGCATGGCGGCTCACGTCTGTCATGCCGGCACTTTGGGAGGCCATCTGGGAGGATCACTTGAGCTGAAAAGCTTGGGACCCACCTGGGCACCTTACCAAGACCTGCTTGCCTGGCGACAGAGCAAGACTCTGCCTCAAAAAAAATTAAAGTTTCTACTCTAGATTTAAAAAAAATTAGCTGGGAGTGGTGGTGCACACTTTCAGTCCCAGCTACTCAGGAGGCTGAGGTGGAGGGACCTTGTGAGCCTGGGAGATGAAGGCCACAGTGGGCTGTGATCACACCACTGCACTCCAGCCAGGGCAGCAAAGTGTGCTGTTGTCTCAAAAAAAAAAAAAAAAAAAGATACATTTCAGGTTTAAGACAATTATTGAGCAAGTAACTGTGTGCGAGGGTGAGTGTGTACCTATTTTTGAAGATGAAAACAAGATGGGATTAAAACATCATACTCCTGATAGTTTACTAGAAAGCTGTAAACCTCAAAGATTTAGAAAGACATCTGTGTCCTCTCCTTTGTCTTGTATTTCTGTGGTATGTTTTGGCTCCTGGTTCAGAATCTCCTCTTGCAAATCCTCTGTTTTTACTGCCTGGTATTCATGTGGACCTGCCACATGATGTTCCCATCCCATTGTTCACGCAGCATTATTTCCGTCACCTGCCAGGGGTGCGAAGAAGAATTTCCATAAAACTTCGTGGTGCGTCCCAAGTAACCGCAGATGTGAGTAGCTTCACAGTGAGTGTATTAAGTCACATTTCGTTTAGTTAGTGCTTTTTCCTTTCAATTAGAGCACCCAATTGAAGCCAGTTTTTCTTTGTTCTTTCGCTTTTTCTAAGTGACATAGTTGAGTTTATTTCCTTCATTGGGCCAATTTGTTCAGGTAAACACTGGGGATGCTAAATAAGTTATTGGGTTGTCTTGATATATAAATGAAGTAAACAGGTACAGTGCTGGGCGAATGACACACTTCATGACTCGGAGTGAGTAATTCTGTTGAAGTGCGTTTGTGTCTCCAACTTAGAGACTGAAAGCATCCACGGTGAAGAACTGGTGTTACTTTTGCTTGTGTAGAGAGTGCCTGTAATTCCTATTTCCAGGATACACAGGCTTTCTCCAAACTTACGAAGCGGAGTTTTGCTTGTTCACTTTTCTGACAGTCTGCAGTTTTCTGCCTCTTTTCATGCATCCTGAGTGCTCTGCATCACAGTCCTCTCTGCCTGTCTTAACGGCTATAACTTTCTCAGCGTTTTCCCTGCCTGTCACACCACATAGTCTTCGCAGGTTCAAAGAGAGGCTTGGGATTTTCTCATGTGAGGAATTCCTCTTAACTGGAGTGTTTGAGGCCGTTTGTGCTATGAATACAGCATTTGGGTCACTTAGGAGGTTGGGACAAGAGGGGTGCACTGTCTGCAGCCAGGTGTTGTGATCAGTCAGCACTGTCTGGATTTATTTGTAAAAGGTAGATGGTATTCGGTGGCTCACACCTGTAATCCCAGCACTTTGGAAGGTCAAGGTGGGCAGATCACGAGGTCAAGAGATCAAGACCATCCTGGCCAACATGGTGAAACCCTGTCTCTACTAAAAAATACAAAAATTAGCTGGGCATGGTGGCACACACCTGTAGTCCCAGCTACTTGGGAGGCTGAGGCAGGAGAATCGCTTGAATCCGGGAGGTGGAGGTTGCAGTGGGTCAAGACCGTGCCACTGCACTAGAGCATGGCGCCTGGCGACAGAGCAAGACTCTGTCTCAAAAAAAATAAAAGGTCGTTAATACCAGTAGGTGTATGTGGTAAGCACTGTAAGGGTGAGGCAGGAGAATCGCTTGAACCTGGGAGGTGGAGGTTGCAGTGAGCTGAGATAGCACCACTGCACTCCAGCCTGGGCAACAGAGCAAGACTCTGTCTCAAAAATAAAAAATAAAATGTTGAATGATCTTTGCAGATTGATACTGGAATCATGGAGAATTTTTCAGTTTCATGTCATAATATTTTCCCGTGTTGTAATCTGTGTAGTCCACACACAGTTCATAGTCCTCATTCTTAGTTGCTAACTGGATGTAACTGGTTGGCCATCTTTCTAGATAAATCTCTGGGGACGTGACAGCTTCTGAATGTGAATATTCTCTGTGATTTGGAATGTAAATCTGTTTTCTGTGTTCCCAGCGTAGCTAGCGCTGGGACTGTTAATCCCACCTTCATCTTTATTGTTTTCCATTCTGGCCACATGTGGACCAGAAACCCTAGGAGCCCTTGGGTTAAAGGTGCCTGTTCTTTCCTGTGTTCTGTGCTGGGTCCTGCATGTGCTGTAACAATGCAGAGTTTCTATGCTTATGGCTGACAAATGGTAGAACAAACACTTTACAAGGCCAGGCGCGATGGCTCACGCTTGTAATCTCAGCACTTTGGTAGTCTGAGGTGGGCGAATCACTTGAGGTCGGGAGTTCGAGACCAGCCTCACCAACATGGTGTAACCCCGTCTCTACTAAAATACAAAAATTAGCAGAATGTGGTGTTGTGTGCCTGTAATTCCAGCTATTCCAGAGGCCGAGGCATGAGAATCCCTTGTTCACAGGGGACGGAGGCATAGTGAGCCGAGATCGCAGCAGTGCACTCCAGCTTGGGCATCAGACCAAGACCCCATCTCAGAAAAAAAAAAAACTTAACAAAAACTGCTTTTTAATACTGTTTAGCTAAGCTTACGACTAAGAAAGAGATTCAGTATTTGGAACATTGCTAGCGTTTTATAATGTTAATTTTGATTGACATAAAAGTATTTGTATCATGTAAAATAGGTTTTATGTGTCACATGCTCTAGTTATTGTATACTTTATCTCATGTAATTATGTGGTGAGAACTAAACATTTGACTCTTCACATTTTGAAAAACACAATATATCCTAATTAAATGCAGTCAACATGCTGTACACCAGAGCTCTTAAATTCATTCCCCCATCTCACTGTAATTATGTCTTATTCGACCGTCATCTACCCAAACATCTGCCCGCCTCTGGTAACCAGAATTCTGCTCTCTACTTCAACAGGTGAACTTGTTTAGATGTCACCGATGAGAGGCGGCCGTGGTATTTTCCTTTCTGTACAGCGTGTGTTTCAGGTTCATCCATGTGACTGGCAATGGCAGGATTAGCCACAGGATTCATGATTCGGGCACAGCTGGGGGGATTTGATGTCATGGCTGTAGTAAATAGTGCTGCAGTCGACACGGGCGTGCGAATGTCTCTTCAACACACTGATGTCATTCACAGTCCCTGGATCGCCAGTGGTCTGATTGCTGTAACGAGCAGTGGTTCCGTTTTTAACGTTTCCGAAATCTTCATTCTGTTTTCCAGAATGGCTGTACTGATGTCCATGCCACCGACAGTGTGCAGGCCCCCTCTCTCCACAGCTTTAGCAGCACTTGGTACTTTCTGCCTGTTTGCTAATAGTCATTCTAGAAGGCGTGAGGTAGTATCTCACGGTGGCTCTGGCTGCCTCTTTCCTGGATAATTATCGATGCTTAGCATTTTCAAATTTATTTGTTATATATATGTCTTTTGAGAAATGCCTATTGAAGTTTTCCCCTCGTTTTTAATACTTGTTTTCGTTGTATAGTTGAGTCGCTTAAATATTTTGATTAACCCCCTGTCAGATTCATAATTTAAAAATGTTTCCCCCCTTCCTAGGTTACCATTCCATTGATTGTATGTGGTCCTGTGCAGAAGTTTTTTAGTTTGAAGTAATCTCATTTGTTTACATTTACTTATGTTTCCTGGCATTTTGAGGTTAAATTCAAAAAATAATCACCCAAACCAATATCATATTTTCTTTACCTTATGTTGTCTTGTAGTAGTTTCAGACTTTCAGCTATTATATTTAAGTCTTTATTTTGAGTTGTTTCTTGTATGTGGTGTGAGATGATGGCCTCATTTCTCTTTTTTGCATGTAGATGTTTATTTTTTCCCAAACGCCAAGTATTGAAGAGACTGTTCTTTAGCCATTTTATATTCTTGTCACCTTTGTCTAAATCAGTTAGCTGTAAATGTGTTGATTTATTTCTAGGCTCTCTATTCTGCTCTTTTGGCCTATGTGTCTGTTTTGATACCAGTATCATACAGTTTTACTTATTATGGCTTTGTAATGTATTTCGAAGGCAGGTTCTGTGATGCCTTCAGCTTTGCTTGTTTTTTCTCAATTATTTTGACTATTGGGGATCTTTTTGTTGTTTTTTTTTTGTGTTACCAGATGAATTGGGGGATTCCTTTTGTATGTGAAGAATGTAATTGGTATCTTGATAGAGATTTCATTAAACCTGTAGATCACTTTGTGTAATATAGACATTTAAAAAACATTAATTCCACCGATTTGTGAATAAAGAATATCTTTCTATTTGTGTGTTACTTAATTTCTTTGTTTCAGAAAGGGTGTTGCCCTGTCAGGCTCAAGCAGTCCTCCCACCTCAGCCTTCTGAGTAGCTGGGACCTCAGCTGCACGCCACCATGCCTGGCTAACTTCAAATTTTGTACAGACGAGATCTCTATGTTGCCCAGGCTAGTCTTGAACTCTGGGTTCTAGTGAGTCTCCTGCCTTAGCCTCCCAAAATGCTGAAATTACAGGAGTGAGCAACCGTGGCCCAACCTTTGATTTCTTCCCTCTGTTCCTTGGCTCTTACTGTAGACATCTTTCAGTGTCTTGGTTACATTTATTTCCGCAGACACTTTTGTAGCCAGTGTTACGCTGGTGTTGATTTTTCAGAGGGTGTGTGCTTCCCGTGTGGAAGTGCTGCTGACTTGAGTTTTGATTTCATATGCGGAAAGACTGCAGAACTTGTTTGTTGGAACAGTTTTTTGGGATTTTTGTTATATGAGATGGCATCACCTGCAAACAAGGACTGTTGAACTGTTTGTGTTCTCTGAAGGCTGAGACTTGGGCGTGCAGGACTGTGTTGATGGCAAGTCCTGAGAGTGGGCTTCCCTGTCTTGTTGCAGCTCTTGGAGGAAACGCCTCCACGTGCCTCTGTTTGCCCTGACGGTCTCCGTCCATTTGCCCTGCGCGGCCAGCACCGGCTGGAGTGCGTTCATTCCATACACAGTACGCTGAGTTAGGGTCATGCAAGGATGGTCAATTATGCAAATCTTTTCTGAATCCATTTAAGTGTTGCACTTGGTCCTGTGGTCAGTCCACACAGTGGAGAGTGTGTCCATGCATAGAGGACTTCCTGACAGGCATCACATGTGACCTGCTGTGGATGTGACCTGCCTCTGATGTCTACTGGGAGTGTCTGGCTTCCCAAATAGAGCTGAGGCCCAGCATTGTCATCTTTGTACACTGAATTATGCCGAATTTTTTTAAAAGCACTGTACAAATTTAGTGCTTAATATATGTGTTGAATGAATAAATCCCAACCAAAAGTTTCTCAGATGTCTGAGACAGCTGGGGGCCCTCTTTCAGCACCGAGGTGCTCTATGCCAGTTTGCCTCCCACCAGCATCCAGGCTGGCATCTGTTTCCTCTGTGCCAGTTTGCCTCCCACCAGCATCCAGGCCGGCATCTGTATCCTCTGTGCCAGTTTGCCTCCCACCAGCATCCAGGCCGGCATCTGTATCCCCTGTGCCAGTTTGCCTCCCACCAGCATCCAGGCTGGCATCTGTATCCTCTGTGCCAGTTTGCCTCACTGCCAGCATCCAAGCCGGCATCTGTTTCCCCTGTGCCAGTTTCACTCCCCATCAGCATCCAGGCCGGCGTCTGTTTCCCCTGTGCCAGTTTGCCTCCCGCCAGCATCGTGGCCGGCGTCTGTTTCCCCTGTGCCAGTTTGCCTCCCGCCAGCATCCAGGCCGGCGTCTGTTTCCCCTGTGCCAGTTTGCCTCCCACCAGCATCCAGGCCGGCGTCTGTTTCCCCTGTGCCAGTTTGCCTCCCACCAGCATCCAGGCCAGCATCTATTTTTATTTCCATAGGTTTTGGGGGAGCAGGTGGTGTTTGGTTACATGAATAAATTCTTTAGTGGTGATTTCTGAGATTTTGATGCCCCCTTCACCCGGGCAATGTTCACTGTGCTCAGTGTGTGGTGTTTTATCTCTTCCTTCCCACCCTGTCCCCCGAGTCCCCAAAGTTTATTGTATTGTGCTTCTGCCTGTGGTCCTTGAAGCTTAGCTCCCACTTAGGAGTGGGAATATGTGATGTTTCATTTCCCTTCCTCAGTTACTTCACTTAGAAAAACAGGTTAAAATTAGTGACTGCATGTTGATTCTGAACCCTTCCACACTCTTCTGAGGTCAAAACATTTGCTCTGCCATCTTCTAAGCCCATGAAGGCAGGAGCCGATTTTGCTTTGGCTCACCAAGGTGTCCTAGTGTTTAGAAAGTAAGAAATACTCATAGGATGAGTAAGTGAAGGATTGAATCAGTCAGAAACTGGGACGGGGCAATGCAGACGCTATTCTGCAAGTTCTGTCAGCTGCTGGGCAGTGGAGTTCCGCAGCCAGAGTGAGGCGCTGTGACTTCCAGCCTGAGGGTCACCGGGTCCACGTCCCGTTAAGCCATTCAAAATGTAAGACACGGTGGCTTTGGGCGTATCTCCATTCGCCACCTGGTTACCCGCTAGAATGGCATCTTTACTGACTAGAAATCCATGGCCTGTGACAGTTATTATAGGAGGTCTGAGAGGCACTGTCGGACTTGAGATAAGAAAATTGTTGTGTGGAAATTTTACTGGTTGTGTAATAATAAAATTATTCTCTGCGGGCTGGAAAACATGTAGTGTGACCTTTAGAATGAGATTGGCATTGGTTGGATGCAAGGTCTCAACACGCTGTGTGACATCGGACAAAGGGTTTTGTCATCCTGAGGCTTAGTTGTTAAGGGAAAGATAACCGTCCACTTTGTAAGCTTTCTAGTAGTTTTAAGTGTAATGATGTGTGGGAAAGACTTCGCACCATGGCTAACGTGGTGACAGCTTGGTTAATGTTAGCCCTTATCATTGGCGTATGAGCATGTGAGTTACATGAGGAATCCTGCCAGTTTGTTCTCTGCTATGTCCCCAAGACCATGAATCACGTCTGGCAATAAGGAGCATTTCCTAATATTTGTTCCGTAAGGATTTGGCAGTCTTGGAGGGCAGAAAGAGGGTGGGGAAGATTTTAAAACAACGCCATTTTTTTAAAGGCACAGTGTCCTACAGTACTACATTCTCTTGTATGTTTAGGCAAATTGAGGGTATTTTTCTAAACCATGATGACATCATGGGAAATAAGATGCAAAATTTGCACAGATGTTTAAGACCAAGTCTGAGGTTTCCATGTCCCAAATCATTCATGCATCCCAGCCTAGGCCCAATAACCCTGAACAGGGACCTGCCCTGGGACCCACGAGTCCTGCAGGACTCACTGAGCTGGCCCAGAAGTGCCCAGACTCTCATTCCTATCCAGGACCTAGGAGCCCTTATCATCAGTCAATCATGATTTACTGCTGCCATCACCTTCGCTGCCTTTAGTGGCCAAGGACCTTCCAAGGTACCAGCTCTGGCAGGAAAGATGGCCTTGGGAGGTGATGACACTCAGGTACACAGGTGCTTATTGGGTGGCTTCCTCCTCCCTCAGACAGTCTCTGCATGCAGCCATGGGCAGTCCCACTGTATGGGAGGAGAGCAGCTCAGAGCCACACAGCTGGTCTGAAATCTGAGGTGCCTGCCCTGCCTTCATGAGGGACTGGCCTGCAAAGGAGGTTGACCCTGGCTCTGGGGAGCCTTTCCTGGGCTGCGTGAATCACCTCCCCTGCTTCAGGCCCCAACTGGGCTCATGTCTCCTTCCTTTTCCTGTCTCTGCGCGGGCTCTAATGAAGGTGAGCCCGGGATCCCTTCATGGACCTCATGGTCCTCTCTGCCATTCACTTTTAGGGTAATTTGACTGCAGCCCCCACTTACTTGGTGTCTTTTCCAACCAAGACTCCCCAAATATGGAGCTCCTCATGCAGGCAACAGCAGGCAAACAGAATGCAATCCGTGGTTGTCCCTGTTTCGTTTTGCTCGTTTCTCAGGCATTGATTGGCTCTCCGTTGGTAGCATGAATAGAACGTTTCCTGTTTACAGTAACTCTGCATCATAATAAATAGTGACAGGATTTAAAGCCGAGGTTTTCAGCTGCCAGTGTCCTGAGTGAGTTTGGGCACAGTCTGGCATCAGGCAGAAGAAGGCATGTGGGAAGCTGAGCTGAGGACAGGCCAGTGACGGTGATGGCCAGTGGGAGTCTGTCCTGGCCACCAGGCCCCTGCTGGGCACTCCCCACCCATCACTCCTGGTGCCGCCAAGCCCTCTGGGTACAGTGGGCACATCCCCCAGGAGAGACGTGATGAACTTTGTCTCTGGAAATGCGCAGATTCCTTGGACATGCCTGGGAGGTCAACCATGAGAGTCCGCTTGGTTTCCTTCCCTCGTTAGGGTTCACAGTGTCAAGTCCACGCTCACGGGCAGCAGGATGACATAGTAAGTGACATCATCACCCCGTTTCAGATGTGCGGATGTCTAGCTGGGTTCGGGATGACTTGAGACCACACAGCCTTGTGCCACAAAGTCGAATTCCCAGGCCGGACGGAGACGTTTGATTGCCACGTCACGATCCTGTCATTGAGGGCAAAGGCAGTCTTGTTTCATTGTGGGTTCTTTCTTAAGTTGATATCTTACTTATGCGGGCTCTTTGAATTTCCAAGCGTGTAAGAAGTTTTGGTGAGCTTTTATCATTGACTTTTGGCACAATTACATGATAAGAAGCATGTTATGTGACTGGGGTCCTCTGAAATATATTGAGATTTGCCTGATGAACAGCGCAAGTCGGGTTCATTTTTGAAGTGAACCATGTGTGCTAAGAGTGGATGTATCTGCAGCACGAGTTCCCGGGGTGGGAGGAAGATGGACGGAGTCGACGTGATGTGAGGAAGATGGTGACTGCCAGGGCCTTCTGTGCCCCGCGGGTGTTCTGTGCTTAGGGTAGGAATGGCTGATGGGGAGCCTCCACTGCTTGTGTGCGTGCTCCTTCCTGCCATCATGATTTTTACGTGATGCAGCCAAGACTGGCCATGAGGAGCCCTGGGAGCTAGGAAGGAAGGGGCGGCCCAGAAGCAGGGACGGGGAGCTGGGCTGGGGAGGACCAGAAATCAGAAGGTCCCGGAAGGTTCCAGAGAGGACCTGTCCTTGGGATGTGCCTGGGGGCCAAGGTGTTGGCAGAACACGGGTACCTCATTGAATGTCCACTGTGAGGCACCAGCCACCGGGTCCGGGGATTGGTGGAGCGGGAGTACAAAGCCCCAGGGTTGCTGAGGCAGCGCCCAGACAGGAGCAGCTTTGGTGGACACCAGGGCCCTGGTCTCCCTCCAGCTGCTCTGGAGCCTCCCGCTGCCCCA